TGAGCTGAGATGCCACAGCACTCTACCCAGGGGGACAGCTTGAGGCTCCTGTCTCAAAAAAAACAAAAAAACCTGGGAAGCTAGACAGGTGAGTTTGAGAGAGTGGTAAGGGGCCCATGGGGCAGCCAAGGGCAGAGCCTGCCCATGAGGTGAGCACATTGAGAGGCTGCAGCACTGGAGGCCCCAAAGGCAGGCTATTCTTGGACCCTAAGGGTTTTCTTTGGGGATTCAACTCATGAGCTTTTGGTAGAAAGGTGGCCACTGCTGCTTAGTCCGGAGATCTGGCACTCTGTAAAAATACTGCAAGATTCTTTGGTTGTGGGTGGCGCCTATGTCTCAGTGGATAGGGCACTGGACCCCTACAGTGAGGGTGGTAGGTTCAAACCCAGCCTCAGCCAAAACTGCAACAACAGCCAGGCGTTGTGGCGGGCACCTGTAGTCCCCTCTACTTGGGAAGCTGAGGCAAGAGAATCACCTAACCCAGGAGTTGGCGGTTGCTGTGAGCTGTGTGATGCCACAGCACTCTACCGAGGGTGATAAAGTTAGACTCTGTCTCTACAAAAAAACAAAAACAAGATTCCTTGGTTGTGGTAATGAATGACCTTCCTGGAACGTCCAGCATTCACAAACAATGGACTTACACTGCCCTCTAGTGGTCACAAGGTTCTGGCCCGCTCCACAGCCATCTACATAGAAAAGTCACATTTCTTTACATTCTTTTTTTGAGTCAGCATTTTGCTCTGTTGCCCAGGCTGGAGTGCCAGAGTGTCATCATTCTTCACTGCAACCTGGACCTCCTGGTTCCAAGCCACCCTCCTGCCTCAGCTTCCCAGGTAGCTGGGGCTATAGGCACACACCACGCCCAACTAATTTTTCTATTTTTTTGTAGAGATCTGTTTTGCTTTCCTTTAGGCTGCTCTCAAACTCCTGGCCTCAAGTCATCTGCCTTAGCCTCCCAAAGTGCTAGGATTACAGATGTAAGCCACTGCGCCTGCCACCTTTCTCAACTTAAAGGCCCAGATAGGACTCTCCTTTCAACCCATACCCCAATCCTATACTCAAATAATCCCTCTAAAGAACGGACAGAAGG